ATGAAGTTGAGTTTATCACTGCTAATGAAGTTGCAGCGGCTCATGTTGATTTACATTTAAAGCGCTCCTTTTTTTTTTTTTTTTCAGCAATGCAACTCGAATTTTCAGTAGTATAACTTGAAATTTTAAATATTCGTTTCATCTATCTGCGTGTATTACTGGTTCAGTTCAGCGACTGACTTTTTAAAGTGTTTTAACATAAACTGGAGAAGCATTTTGACGTCTCAAAGAAGATAATATTAATTCCATTGAAGCAAAATTTTTGCTTTACTTCCTTTGTTTGAAATATTTGTTGCAAACTTCGTGTGCAAAAGATCAAATTGGTGTGCGAAATGAAAACGCATAGTTATGTCTTGAATAACCTTAAGTCTCTTCGTTATGATTAGATAAGGCTGAAAGTTTCTCGGTGACATTAACTGATGGATAAAAATTTAGTTTATGATGATAGTAAATTTTTAGTCTTATCCTTTAGTAGTGCTATTTTGACTGACTTACTTTAAATATATGATTTTTACCTTCTGAAGAGGAATTCTCGACATAGAAGACCTGTTTATTAAATTGCTTTATGTGTTAAACTGGAATCTGGACAAACAAAAAAATTACAACAATTAAAAAAAAAAAAATAGATTGCTTCCCCAGTTTTTTCCTTCCGATAGAACGTATTTAGATATATCTCTTATAAAACCCTTGAAAATTTCTAATGGTTTACATATAAACTGACACACAGATGTATATGATATAAACCATCAGATAAAAACTATGAAACATCATTTTAAGATAACGAAGTGCCGCATTCCAATATATTATTGTATATCAATATAAGTAAAAACAGATCACTCTTCGTTTACCAGTCTTCTCTATTTATCATCTCTTTACATCTAAATATTTACTCTTATATCTCTTCTTGGGCATGTAATCGCACAATTATGATCATTGAATTTAAAGATAACAATGCCTTTCTTTTCCATTTTTGGAGTTTAGCAAAGAAGGCAATTCAGTTATTTGAACTGCGATAAAATAACAACAGGGATGATTAATTTAAAATGTACACGTGGTAGACATCGCTTGCAAAGATTTTTCAGAAGATGTTAGGATTTTCATCGAGTCTGGCAATAATCCTTACTTTAGTTTCTTTTATCATTTTCAAATAAATAACGAAATTTTGCTTTCTCGGTTTTTCAAAATGGCAAATGTAATTGTACACCATGCCTTAAATATTGTTTTCACAATAGAATTTTTGCTACGAATTTTTATTGTTTTCACAGTAGAGTTTGCGCTACGAATTTTTATTGTTTTCACGATAGAATTTCTGGTATGAAAACGTTCGAAATATTGCAAACAAGCATACAAAATAACACTTTGTCAAAAATAAGAATTTTTGACAAATGTTTAAGCACGGCAAAGAATGTGACAAAAATGAGACATACTTTTGCAAATCACTTACTTCAACTAATGAGCACTGATCAAACCAGATTTGGTGCTTAGTGATAGTTATTTAACAGTCTGGAATATTAATGAATAAGTTCCTGTATTGTTTGGATCCTGTCAAGCGATCTTGAAAGAACATTTCGGCTTGCTGTACTTTTTTCTTTTTTTTCCCAATGGCAGATTGTGAACAATTACAAATGTAACCCAGTCCATTAATCTATACAAGGCTGGATGTTGTGGTCTCTTTATTATGGAGGCCCTATATTGGGACACCATCGCCTTTCTATGATGGACGGACAGTTAAACATGCCTCGGGATCGAACCCAGCGCCTTCGGCATCGCAGTCAGTTCCCTAAACATATATGATAGGCGGCGGTTGCTGTACTGCTTTTTGAATGTTCTAAAACAGCAAGAAACACAAACAGAGCCAGAAGGGTTATATTGTTTGCATTTTGCGTCATTATAAACGCGAATTACTTTTATATGTGCCACCCAATATTAAAACCTTATTATTCAAGAATTAATAATGAAAAATCTGCGTAATGTATGTACGATGTTCTCACATTGTGATAAAACACGGTACCTAGAGCCATCAATTTGAATAACGTAGGCTCCACCCGAATATGGGCATTGGAAATACAAATTTGGCATTGTTTTATTATCTATTTAATTTTGTAAAGTGATGAGTTTTGATTAAGAAACGCACGATTCAAAGCGAGCAAACAACATGTACGGAAAAAAAAAAAAAAAAAAAAAAAAAAAAAAAAAAAATTATCCAGCTCGGAGATGTGACGAAAATTCGAAAGATATGTCTTTAAATATTTGCGATATGCGGTTGAATGAATTTAGTTAAAGAGCGAAGAACTGAATTATAAATAAAGGTACACACAAACGTTAAAAAATGTCCCTTGGGGGTTGTAATATAACATTGAAAGATTTATACTTTTTCCTCTCTATTTCTCAAAAGTTACCTGTGAAGTATTTCTAAGTTATAGACTAGCGTGCTCAGAATAATTTGCTTCTAAAGGAAAGAAAGCCCACGTTAATTCTTCGAAATGCATTGAGCCGTTTCAGTTGATATTATCCACAGAAAGTTCTAATTATTAACACTGAAGTAATTTGGAGAAGATCAAGTTCTTTGAATGACTCATTAACATACTGATATGAGAATGGAAACAGTTATCACAGATATGATACATTTAATTGCTTGTCCCCCCAAAAAAATAATTTCAAATAAACAGAAGTCATTCCAGAAGTATGTTTTACATGCAGATATTCACTGAGAGACATTTCGAATCAGCTGACTGAAGAAGCAGATTGAAGGAATACAGTAAGCTCTTGCAGATGGCAGACCTTGAGAAACGTGATTTTGCATATACGTATTATCTTAATTGTCGCCATTTAATCTCACCAAACGACTGGTGTGAAAATTCTTTCATTAAAGAAGTCAAGAGTTGTTTAAAACAGAAAAACGAGAGCTTTAAAGTTCTCAATATTTCCAATAATGCTCCAGGATACGGTACTGAAGCCCTCGCAGTTTCTTTCCACCGAACACCACATCCTTATTTCAACAAAAGGATCAAGGAATCCCAAAGATATTCAAAGCCAATTTTGTCAGACATACTTACATCTCTGATAATAAAACACTAGTTAAAGGAAAACACTACACACTAATGGCATTTTGGAAGAAATCTAACATAAGACACTGAACAAAATGATTACACTGGCATGGGAACAAGTGAATTCATCAACAACAGATGCTTGCTGGCATCAGCGCATTGACAGAAGTTGTCAACAGTTTTAAAGGATTTCCATCGATTGGAAATGAAGCCAAAAACATCATACAAATTGCAAAAGCAACAGCCGGCGAAGGATTTTCAGACAGGGAAGAAGGAGCAATCAAAGAATTAGTCAACAAATACGATGAGTGAAATGACAACTGAAGAATTTAATGATCTTAACGTTATATATCTTCTGTGTATTTAAAAATGAAAAAGAATATCATGTAATTCTGTCAAAATATTAATTTTTTTTCATTAGGTACATCATGAATTAAATGCATTTTTATACAAATCTATCAGATTTAAAAGTGAAAAAAATAATATTTTTAAGAACTGCATCTATTGCTTTTAAATAGTTTAGTTTGTCAATTAATAACAAATAGATTAGATGTCAAAGAATAATATCTTATATTTCCCCGAATGGCAACAGACTCGAATAGAAAGGAAAACAAAGCATTAAAGCGAAACAACGCAAAATCGTGTTTCGAGACTAATAGACCTTTTGGGCATGAAGGCACTCTCTTCATATTAAACAATTTATTATGACCGAGATACTTAATGAATATCAGTATATGTGTAAAACAGAAAAAAGAATGGTATGGAAATCGAAAATCTGGTAGATGAGAATAATATTTTATAAGCTCTAACTTCTGTAAAATAAGTTAAAACAATTTGATCGTAATTAATATATATATATATAATATATATATATATATTTGATACGTTATGAAGTTCAATGTTTTTAAAAAAAAATTCCCAAAGCAAAACAACAGAGCAAATTTAGTGATGAATAATAGTGTTTTGACATCATAAAATTTATAATGATGATTTCAATCCTTAAAAGATTATGTTCGTACTTAAAAATACGTTCACTAAGCGTCGAGAAAATAAATAAAACATACATTAATCAAAATTTTTGTTTGCATACTTTGTGATAATTTTAGTTTATAAATGTACGTTATTATAAAACAATAAAATGCACTTCTACTTACTTTTCAGAGAAAATTAGAAATCTTAGTAGGACTATCAAAAGAGATTTATTAATTCAGGTGAATTAAAATTGGCGGCTGCAGCTCTGCATATTAATAATTAAAAAAAATTAAATAGACCAAAGTCGTTTTTTTTTTTTAAGTTTTATGTGTACCTTTATTTTATTTTCGAACTTAAACATAAAATTCATTTCAACAGCAATATCGCAAATAATTTAAAATGAGCATATCTTTAGGAATTTCGATACAGTCTTGCGCTGGAGAAAAAATGAGTTTGCCATGCTCGCTTGAATCTGTGTTTCTTAACAAAAACTCATAATTTAAAAATAGAATCGATAATAAAACAAATTCCAAATTTGTATTCCAAATGCCCATATTCGTGTGGAGACGTACGTTATTCAAAATTTGATGGCTGTAGGTACCGTTGTTTTATCACAATGTGAGAAAAATGCGTACATACATTTATGCAGATTTTTCATTATTTAATTTCTTATAATACAATACAAGGCTTTAATATTGGGTGGCAACAATATAAAAAGTAATTCGCTGTTTATAGTAAATCGACGCAAAATGCCAAAACGAAATTAATAGCCCTTCTGGGCAAATTGCCCCTTTGGGTTAATAATAACATAATTTTCAGGAATAATTATTAAATATAAAACAAAAGAATGCAAATAATTAAATAACAAATTAATATGCAATGAAAAAGGATAATCATTTCTGGAATTCTATATATTATTTTATGAGCATCATATTCGCTTTCGAAAATACTGTCTTATTGATATGAAAACAAAATACTTACTCTAATTCATGCAGACGACAATGGGTCATTTCACCACCGTCATTAAAAATTACTTCCGCCAAAGTTTTTCCATCTGAGAATAATATCGGCCTTGGCTCTTCGGAATATGCTAACCTCACGGAATTACCCGTAACAACACACACGCAAAACGAAACCGTACACCAAAAAAGAGCCGTAGCCGAAAAGCTATATTCGGAATTCTTTCTAGATTTCATTACCCGGCTAAACCCGGTAACCTTATGCAGAACACCTGCTCATATTCGATATCTTCGACCGACTGAACTAAAGTAACGGAACATGCGGGCAAGTTTTTTTCGGTCAAACTGGCAACGCGTAGCGAAGTTCGAATCATTCAAGTTCTTTGAACTGAAAAGAAAGAAAGATACTCAAGATTCCGTGAGGATATGCTGAATACGCTTTCTTTTGTTTAATAACTCTGATACTGATGCATGGCGTTAATGCTTAAAGTGAAACGAAGCGATTTTAAAGTTTATATGAACAATAAGAAAAAAAAATAAATAAATAAATAAATAAATAAATAAAAAATAAAATCAAATACTTTATCAAGGAAAAATTTTTTGTGATGAATGCTTCTTTGAGCCTCAGGCTTGGTAACGACCTCGTAGAGGTCAACGGAATATTAATGTTATCTTTGGCTGATGATGTAAGTAGGACGCATTTCGACTGCTGTGCCATCAGACGGCGTTGAATGCTATTTTAATGTTATCATATTATCTAGAAATGAAAGTGCTATCTGACATAATCCTTTTTCCACATTTCTTCTTCAACATTCCTTTAAAAATAGATATCGCTAATTTCTTTGTTACATAACGATGTCTTAACCCATCCAATGATTTAATAACAATCGAAACTCGAAAAAAAATAATTGATAACCAAAAACTCGAATAACCAAAAAACTCGGTTAATATGGTTGTTGAATCATATTATTTTCCTTTTTGAAATTGTTTATTTGAAATTTTATAAGCAAGTGCATTAAGTCTGCTATTAATATTTTAACAAAATTTTTGGCTGCTGTTTTTTCTTTCAATTAAATAAATATAATACATACATGATTTTATTTTGTAACAAATATAAAATGAAAAATCTGGAATAAACAACTCTATCGAAATTTATGCAAACTGAAATTTTCGCAAAATACTCAGATACAATTTTATGAGACTTTATCTCATTTTATTTTATTTATTTATTTATTTTTTGGAAAAGTCTGTCATCTTTTTTAATAATACTTCTATAATTCCATCATGATTATGCCAGTCTTTTACCAGCAAAATAATCTCAGGGGAAGAGCCAGGACATTGCTCTGTATAATTAAAGGTTTTGTTCAAGGTTTCAACCCAGACCATTTATAGTTTGACCCGCGTACAAATCCTGGTGAACGAGCTAGCTGCGTGGAATTTTTATGGATTTCCCCGTAAGTGCCGGTTTAAGTTGATTTCGGACCATAGGCGCAGAAGATCTACAGGCCCCATTGGCTCTGGCGGATCCAAGGAGGGGCTCTTGGATCCGCTAACAAATGAAACAAAATTTTAGTGTTTAAAAATATAACATAAAAAAAGCTAAAAATGACATTTTAAGATATAATTTGAATTTAACAAATATTCTCTATTCGTATAAAGCTAATATAAAATTTAAATTTAATTAAGAAAATTTAATTGCAAAAATAAAAAATATGATAGTATCACTATTAAATTTTTCCAGTGCGTTATATTCTATATACTATAATAGTGACAATGCATCAAGGTTTTCTTGACTCAAATTACATCTAACATTTGTTTTTATTCTATTTAGGGCCGAAAAAGATCGTTCTCCTTACGCGTTAGAAATGCGTATCGTTAAATAAATTTGCAAAAGAGTTAGAATATTCGGAAAAGCTGCTTTCGCCGTCTGGACAACCTCAAATTTTTCATAAATCGACGGACAATACGGACATGGACGTGCATGTGAGAGGCGCGGATTATTTTCGCAAAATCCATTTACTATTTTTCTAAATAAATTTTATCTTCAACTATCGAAATTTATAACCAGAAATTGTGGTTGGGTCCAGCATATCCGGGCCTCTGGGCGCCCGCCACAAGTGTCCAGTAGATAAACCTGCACTGTTCTCCATGTGCAATGTGAATACGAACCAGTTTTTCTCAGAAAAGTCGTCTTCGAACGCAACTCTCCTTTTAGAAAAATAGCCGTCATGTGCTACCCCGTAATCAAAATAAACCTAAAAATGAGTCATGAAAATCATAAGGCATTAAGGATTTCTTGAGGCAATAAACTATGATGAAGAAAAGTTTAAGGGGTAAGAAGTAAAATATTTATTTAATTATTTTTATTTATTTATTTGCATAAAATGATTTTTTTTTTATGTTATGTTATTTGACTCTTACTTAAAAAATGAAAGTAACTGTTACTTAAAAAATGAAAAAAAAAATTGAACTTAATAGGAAATATGGATAATATTTTAACAAACTAAATGTTGGATGATAAAATTATGTAAAATAATGGCTCAGTGATAAAACCGTAGAAAATTCTTTATATGAATATCATTCAAAATTTTAATGTAGATGATGCATCTTTCTCTTTCATTTATATATATTCTCTGAATGATCAATTGAATCACTGAAAGACATATTTAACTGTACTATAAACGGCATTTCCTCTTTTAATGCAGAATGCAGTTTGCAAAGGCATCGTGATAAATACTGGATGGCAAAGTATTTTTTCGAAATTATTATTCAAATAAATAAACTCAAATTATAAAAAAACATTTATGTGAATAAAGATGTTTAAAGTACACATTTGAGAATGAATAAATAGAAATTTTTAAAATAACTGAAGAACTATAATTCAACCACGCAACTTCAAGTAATTAAAATTACATTCTAAAAAGGGGGGAAGTCTAAAACTGAAGAAATTGCGATTAAAAAATTTAATATGAAACAGACATCAGAGCCTTGAGTAGAAGTATATGCAAGAAAGAAAAAAATACACTTTTTTCTTGCTTGCACAGTCTAAAAGAGAAACTGCAATAGGTTGCCGTGCCTGAGAAGTTTGCCATGTAAATTATTCTTGGCATAAAGTGGAAGAAGTGAGCCAAGGTTTGGTTTAGTTTATTTGATTATGGCAAAGCACTTGAGGGCTGTCTGCGTAAGGGAAGGGATGTCTTCTTCGTGGAGGGCTTTCTAAGGGAAACTGGCTCGTATACACGTTACACATGAAGAAAACCAACCTCGGACCGAACTACCAACGTTTAGCAACTTTGCCGCTCGATCTAGGCTTCAGTAAAGCAAGGTGAATTTCCAAATAGCTGATTAAATTTTACACCAAATTTTACATAGTTTTTAGGCATAATTTAAGTCGTAGAATCGAAATATGAAAAGAATTGTCATTTCATTTTAGAAAAAGTCCAATTTTCGTCAAAATACATATGTTAGAACAACGCTTTTTATAAATCTGATATATACCCTAATCGTGCTTTCGAGGTATGAAAAAGGCAAGTTGAATTTCGTCAATCAGCCGAGTAGAACGGGAGATCAAATACTGTCAATTTTATTTTACTGAGTTTTTTTATTGTTGCGTGCCTACTGGTTCGTAATACCTAGATTGAATGCACAAAGGGCCGATGATACGTTAATGAAATTTATTTTATCAAAAGAATGTTTATCAATATTTTATCAATGAAATTTATTTGATCAAAATGAGCAGCGTGGTAACGAGGAGAGAATTTCAGGCAGCTAATGTGAGGTAATCAATTGTCGACGAATGAAGAAATGTGGAGCGATATTTCGGACCTAGGGAGAGCTGCATTTAAGAAGTCCCATCTTGAACGTTATACTGGAGCAGAAGGTCTTCCCGGCCATATAGTTTTCAACGGGCGACAAGATTTTCTGGTACTTTGCTTCCGAATTACTGGAAACCAATATGAGGGTTGAATTACGGTACAGCTAACATCGTGGCATTACTTTATTCAATTTCAATACTAGTACGGTGATACGTGGCCGACCCAATCCCCCCAAATGGTCGCCAAGTTTGGGAACTTTTGGTGATTTCTCGCCACATTTCTTGAAAAGAAATGCTTCAAAGTTCGGAATTTTCCGCAGAAATACTCGTACAAGTGTTCACAGTATCACAGAGTACAATCAGTAGTTACGCTTCAAGCTTCTAAGAACGTTAAACACAACGCAATGCAAAACGCATCTGAAGAGAAAACTAACTGGGAAATATCTCCGCTCTCACGCTGAATTAACAACTTGCAACAGTAAGAACAACAATTAGCTAAACAACTCAAAGCATACTTTGATACACAAGTAATTATACAGGGGTTCTACTGCTTTTGCAGTAGTCCCTTAGAAATTCTGGAAACAACTTCCCTGAACAAAATGAGATAATTCCACAATGGGCATGATGATGATGGATCCTGAACGAGTCCCATGGAGGTAGCTAGGAGAAGGTAGAAGAAAAGTCCTCTCTTAGCCCTTTAAAACTGGCGAGGGAGTTGTCAAAGTTTTAAAGTCGAGGCCGGTCGAGCAGATGGCGCCATCTATTGTCAAAATGAGCAGCGTGGTAACGAGGAGAGTATTTCAGGCAAGGCTAATGTTGAGGTCATGCACTTGTCGACGAATCGGGAGCATGATTGTGGAGCGAATATTTCGGACATAGGAGAGATGCTGCAATTCTAAGAAGTCCGCCATCTTGAACGTTATACTGAGAGCAGAAGGTCTTTCTCCGGCCTTATATAGTTTTCAACCGGGCGCCAAGATATTTCTGGTACTTTCTGCTTCTCGAAATTACTGGAAACCAATATGAGGGTTGAATTACGGTTACAGCTAACATCGTGGTCAATTACATTTATTCAATTTCAATACCTAGTACGATGATACAGGGGCCGAACCCAAAGCCCCCCCCCAAATGGTCGCCAAGTTTGGGAACTTTTGGTGATTTCTCGCCGCATTTCTTGACAAAATAAATTACCAAAGCCGTTGTCAACTTGGCGATATTGCCGAGTAATTGAATATATTGCTAATGGTTAAATGAGTATTGAGTAAATAAGTATTACCGAGATACGCATTTACTCAATGTCAAATGCACTTGTCCCTGTATTTTTACTTTTACAACATAACGTCTCTGTTTAGAGTTTTCACGTTACATTACACAGAAATATACAACAATTTTACATATAATTGCACTAAAATCATCTATCTATGTGCAAAATTCGTAACAATATGTTACCTTTTAAAATTGTGAACGAACAATTTAATGAAAGCTATTCGGCATTCGCAAACAACTAGTCGTAAACATTAGCCTTCTTAATTATTATTTTATTAATTCTGTACTCCTAAAATGTGTATATTGAAACTTTGTTTAGGCTAT